ATTTGCGGAATAATTCTTTATAGCATAGAACCACAGATTGATAGATCACGGAATTCGTGAACTGCAACTTTCAAGTTCACATTTTGAGGTTGACTTTGAAAAAGTTCACATCGTAAACAAAAACGTTATACATGAAATATAATTTCTCAACTGGGATAATTATCGGAAGATTCAAGGTTTACATCTTTGATTTTGATTAACTTAATATACAATAATATTTTCACGTTGATGAATACAATTTTATATTGAGATCGTTTAATACGAAAATCTAATGAAGAAGCATCAAAAATTCAAAATTGCAGTCCAGTAAGAAATAAACTTTAAAAAATTGGAAACTACGGATTTTAGACTTTTCTATTTAGAATTTCAAGGAGCATGAAGTTTCAGTGCCGAAGATTGAGACTGGCGATCATTTTAAAAACTTAATAGGTAATTATTTTAAAATATGGGGGGGAAATAAAACGTAGATTTTTAATTTCTTGTATCCATATTTTATCCAGACTAATTAAAACTTAAGTGAATTCTGTAATTATTACTTATCTTCTCTTTCTGAATAAGCTATATCACACAACTGCCGAAATTTAACGATGTCTACAAATGACTTCTTACACCACATATAAAGTGCAAGACAAAATTATACTTTAAATGTTTGAAATCTGCAAATCACACATCAATTTTGATTAAAAAAAACACGTATCAAATCATTCTCAAAGACTTTAATTTAGTTTGATTTTAAACTTCAATGCCCGTAGCCTTTTAGGAAATGTTTACTTGGTAATTAAAATAGGATTTCTTTATTGTTATGATAATATTGGTTTAAACATTAATGTAATAACACACGGTTAAAACTACATAGCTTTTTAATAATAATATATAAAAATGTTATGCATAACGCAAAACATGGCAATCTAAATGGCTTTTAGGACCATGGCAAACACTGAAAAAATATTGCGTGCTGAGTAGCACTTTTTAGATATTAGTAAATTGCTACAACCTTAGTAAGCATGAAATTGAGTGCATAGTGCAAATTTCCTCGTTTTACCCTTGATTATAACACGATACTATAATTCAACTAAAAAAAAAAAAAAGCATGATACAACCTTTAAAATTACTGCAAAATTGTGATGATGTTAGGGTTTAAAGCGCCAACATTCTTGCCCAACCCTGAACCTATTTTTCTAAAAAGTTAACATTGAGACCTATTCATCATATCAAAAAGACTTTTGAAGCAACGTGTAATACTAAAATAGGACATCGAACAAAAATTTTAAATTTAGAGAATTATTAAATAATCGCCACATAAATCTTACATAAGATTAGTAAACAGCCTAAAAATTATTCCAAAACATTTCAGAGTTTAAAAATATATTTCTGAATAAAAACGCAAAAATGTGAAATCTGTTAAAATTATTTCTCCATCAAATATAAGTGGGCCATATTAGATCTCTCCTCTATGATGAGAAAAAAGGTTGGGCAATATATTTACACAGAGCAATATAGCAACATTTATAACTCTATTTTCACCCGCAGATAAGCACTACTATCTTTATCCCAAATATCATCAATAAAATATAATGCAAGAACAGCAGTATGGATATAGCTAGTTCATTTTACCAATCAAGATGAAATTGAGGTAAGTAAGAGGTCAAGTGGCCAAACAAGGCGGACAATGGACAGTATGAATGGAAGTCAAGTGAGGGCACTGAGTGGGAAATTAAAGCAGATTGCACTGATGGATAGAGGAAATGAGCAAATACAAAGCAATTTTTTGCAGTCTTTTGTCTAACTGGATCCGGGCCATTTAGGAAGTGTTTGGCTTTCTCCTTTTTCCGTCGCGGAAGTATAACACCGAAAGCGACAATTTATTAAGGCAGGGAAGGATAAACAGTTCTGTTTACTTGATGTATCCGGTTGTCAACAAGATATGACAGGTGACTAATATCATCTGTACAAGCAATTTGGACGGAGACCATGCTCATAAAACCTCTCATTGTCTTGTCATTTTCACTTGTCAGAAGCTATTTATAAGATTTTAAGGACACGAAAAATTAGATTAAATGTTTTTTAATGAACACGCGTATTTCCGAAGAATTTATGCAGTGGAGTGATAACAGTTTACCCTTGATGAATTTAAACTGAATTTAGTCTAACATTTTAGTTTGGAAAAAAAAAAATTCAATTACAAAAGAAAGATTAAATTATATATTTAACATATTATAATTTTTTTAATGAAATGCGAATTGTAGATATCGGTTGTTCATTCATACATAATTATTAATTAAATTCAGGGTTGGCAAGGTTTAGGACAGAATGGATTAATCCACGGTTTAAACCCGGGTTTAAACCGTCCTGTCCAAAACCCCTTTGTCCAAAACTGTCTTAAACTGTCCGAAACCCTTTTACTCAAATTATGTCACAATTTTATCTGAACAATATTTAAGAGGTAAAATAAACATATAACTAATAACATATTGATAATTAAATGTATTAGAGAATATTTGTCTTTAAAAGTATAATGTTTTATTAATATTGTTTGACTCTTCAATTTCAACAAAGGAAGATTAATCGGTAATCAAGTTCAATTGGTCCTCTCATTCAATAGTACATAACTGAAGTTTGGCCTTGCCATACAGGTTAAAATATTAGGGACTAAGTGCTTGGTTCGTCATAAACAGGTTTATTTATCTATAGTACTATTCAAGAATACTTTTATTTCATTCATATTCAATTCTTTTAGCATAGTGGTGATACATCACTAGTGTCAGTAACTGAAACTGATGTTATGCCCTTCAAAACTGTTAATACATTTTTCAGTTATTTTATATTTTCAATTTAAATTAATAAATTTATATCTAAATTTTTCTTTAAAAAAATAGATGTCTTTTTTATCATCCTGTGATACAGAAATTATAACATTTTTTTAAAAAAATATTGTGAAAAAAAAGGTTAATTTTTGAACAAATTTAGTAATTTTTTTAAGAAAAATTATTATTTTTTAATATTTTCATATTTATCCTTATGCAAAAATATTATTTATCAGTATTAAAAGCATATTTATATTTAAAGGATTAGGCATTCACTTTTGTTGTTCAATGAATTGTGGAGCTTCAAAAATTTTAAACCTTTTCCTATTATATTATATTATTTTCTTTTAATAAGTTATAGTAAATTGTATAAAAAATATCAAATATTTATTGATACATGTAATTATTATGTGTACAATGGTTACACCTGTAGAATTTTTACCTTTTTCCAAAGTTCAAGGTTTTGGACACTTTAAGACAGTTTTACCCAGTTTAGGACAGTTTTACCCAGTTTAAGACAGTAAAACCCATGTGTCCTGTCCAAAGCCAGTTTAGGACGTCCAAAACCCCAACCTTGATTAAATTTAATGAGCATTTGGACATGTTTATTAAAAATCTTAAATTAGATACATGGAATGCTCAGAAAATAAATGTTAAAGTTTATTAGCTTTTTCCCTTCATTTCAAAAACAAAAAGTATAATTAAGATAAAATTAGATAATTTTTTGTACAGTGTAAGACATATAAAGAATCCATACACTGAAAAAGTCAAATGATCATGCCATGTGCAACAAAAAGATATGTGTATTTCATTTCATGAGTGTATACAAAGCTTTTAGAAATCCCATAAACTAACTTTAAAGCTAATATATTTTATAATTTAAAACTAGTAGCAACCATGCTTTACATTTTACAAATAATAATTTCAGTAACTTCTATCATTATGCAGTTCACTATACATTTTGAATGTAGAAAAATGACTGAAATAGTTTTCTTTTATTATTATTTCTCTTATTAATCCCTTTGGTAATAATCAAGCAATATTTTTTTCAGCATGTACTATACCTCATGTTTATATTTAGTATATATAAGTATGATTTTGTAAGGAAAAATTCACTTAACTTTGGGCGAAATTAGGTCTTTCCATTAAAAAAAAAAAACAATAGAATCCATTTAACCCTGGCTCTAAGTAAGATTGAGTTTTTTTTCACGAAAAAAACCCCAAAAGAAACCCACGGTTTTTGACCAACACTAATCAATTTTTTTGTTCACATCGATTGGTGCGTTTCTCACTAAATCTGAATAAAACTATCTTTCAACAAGCACCAAATCATTTTTCGACCGTGGAACGATAAAGACCTGAATAACGGCTACTTTAACAACTGTTCAAAAGGTACCAAAAAAGTCAATAAAAACATTAGTTACACTTACAAATTGGTCAACTTTCTAATCTTTACAAATCATTAGTTACAAACGTTACAAATTGGTTTAACAATTAACCATTATGTCGAACACTGTCAACCTCGAATCATAATACGGTGCAAATCAGTAGCAACCACAATAAAGTGATGAATTGAATAATGTTTCGCTTTACAGTGATTTGATCGTAAAATCAAGTTTTACGATATTACGGATCAACTTACCACAAGATTAAGTTGCAACAAATTTCAACGATAATATGATTCAACCTATCAGCATATTAAGATTGCAGCAAATTGGAACAATAATATGGTTCAACTTATCAACATATTAAGATTGCAGCAAATTTCAACGATAATTTCAACACGCTCCAATATTTTTATTCTATATGAATTTCTATCAAAATAAAATTTCGAATATTTCCAAATTGAAAACGACATTACACACACCGTCATTGGCCAATTTTTTTGATTATCAAATGCCTACTATAAAATACAACTGACGAAATTCCGTCATATGGCTCCTAGTAAATTACTGTTCGTCACGCGGAGATATTTTATATTTTCCCAAGATTAATTTTTCTGACTTTAGTTTTTCTTTCCGTTTTCAAATACAAAAATAGTTGTATAAGCCAACCTACAAGAAAGTTAGTAGAAATAATTAAGTTTCAAGGGTAATAATATATAGCAGACGGCTAAAAAACATGAAAAAAATTGTCGTTAGTTTTTTTCTTGAAAATCATCAGTCATCAGCGGAATAATTTTTTTTAACGACTTACCTTAAGGTCGAGGTGGGCAATTTTGTGCTCGTGTAGGAAGGAAACGCCCTCTAATATTTGTCTCAACAGTCTTGTTGCATCTCTTTCTGGAACGACCTCTTCATCGTCCAACACTCTCTGCACTTCACCACCAGATACTCTAAAAAATAATATTGATTTTTTTATTTTATGTTTACGTATTGGAAGTTAACTAAAGACATTTTGATTACTGATACATTTTGGATTAAATCTTATCTATCAATGTTATTAAAAATAAATTTAGAATTGTTTAGAAATTCAAATTTTACGACAGAAGATTCGGTTTCATTATACATCGAATAATTATATTTTACTAATATCATATACTTAAATTTTAGAAAATAGTCACAATATTTATATTATTTCATGTGCTGTAAGTAAAAACTGGTGTCCAACGAAAGAGAACCTGAAAAATAAATAATTCTGAAGATAAAAAAAATGTAACAAACGGTGTATTGATAATGAAAGCCATTGATTTTTATTCAGAACTTTTATAATTAGAAACATCATCAGAAGATGGCATTTTACTAGGCTATAAATAAAAACATAAGTTGCCGCATGATGGCATTCTCTCTGAATCATCCTTAGTGATTTCTATTGAGTTAATGTGCCAACTTATAAATTTTCCTATTTTCATTCCTAGGTTACAAAGACCACAAGGACCCTACACTACAAGTATCATTAACATATGATGACTGGATAAAATGTTACCACGGTCTAAGGCACCCAGTCCAAACTACTATGACTGACTTGATGGCATCTTACATACGTTGAACAAAACCATAAAAATAAAAATAACTAACAAAAGATGATGCAGTATAGTGTGGCTTTCAGGAGAACTCCTCCAGACGTCAGTCTCGTCGCGGATACCATGGTTACGAGGAAATGTCACTTCGAATAGGGGTGGGGGTGAATAGTTTTCTATTTATCTTTGCATAGGCCAGCGTGAGTAAACCAATCAACACATTCATTCCTCCATTGCACCTCCATTAGAAATGTGCTCTAGCTTGTAACCATAGCAGCAGACAGCCTCAGACTTTTAGCCTCCTCAAAGCCGCACTATACGATGTTATTGCAATATAAAGTCCCTGTTTAGAATTACGTACGGCGCACATTCTTGCACAGCACAATCTATAGGCAACTTTTTTAATTAATTACTAAAATTGTGTATAAGAAGCCCATAGATTTAATAATGGTTTAAACGGAATAAAAGGAGTATTGACAGTAAAAACTAAAATTTTTATTCCAAATTTTCAGAATTAGTTACTCAAGTTACCTTCCATATGTTCCACAGGCTGTTAACAAACCAGAAAATGCCAACTAATAGCGCTTCACTGTCTAGCTATCACAAAAAATTCTGAAGTCCTCTCGACTGAGGTAGTCTTTTGCTACAAAAACGAGTAAAACTATTTCCAATAAGAGAAAATTGAACTATTAACGTGACACAGCCAAATCTAAGCCAATGTGAAACGGCTTGGTGGTAAAACGGTTAATCCCACACGCCCCTTGTAGAACTGACTTATCTTCGCTATCATAGTAAACAGTTCAACGCCACCACGCAAATATAGTGCCTGGAGTTCTAGTGATAGCTGGACAGTACGCAATAGTCTTAAAAACAAAAATAAATTTCAAAAAGATGATGCTATACTCTGTTACAATAGAGTCCTTTTATGTATCTAGAATTCTACACAGCATACGTTGCCATTTTTTGTTAATGCTTACTTCGTGTACAATGCAATATGTTGGTAACTTTAGTAACAAATTAGAAAAAATTATGTCACAGCTTTATGTATACTAATTATGACTTACAGCTTTCACTATCAATATACCATTTAGATTTATTTGATCTTTTTATCCCCAATTGTTATGAATGAATGGATGTATGAATGGGTCCGCCCTATAAACGGGTGTGACATAAGTCGAATTCTTGGCCATAGATGGCACCACTGGAAAACAAGAACAATCGTACCCCTTGCCTTAATGGCCTACAACAACATTTCCAAAAGTTTCAGAATTATTTAATTTTGATATCGCTGGGCAAAAGAATTAAATACTTACAATTCCAAGACAAGAATGATTTCGGAGTGTGTTTCATAAATTTCATGTAGTTGGACAATGTGTGGATGTTGTGCACTAAGTTCTAGGACATGAGCTTCGTGCAGTATTTCATGACGGACATCGGAGGCTCGCCTTCGTTTCCTCATATATTTAGCTGCATACTCTAATCCACTTTCTTTGTGCTGGCAACGACGTACAGTTGCGAATTTGCCCCTAGAAAAAAGAGAGAAGATTTAGAACACAACTTACACTTAAATTAATGAGGGGAAAAACCTAAGAGGATAAGTAAAATCTAAAGACAACAAAAACACATGGAGTCTGAACGCATCCTTTTGATGAATTTCAAAGTTAGAGAGAGACTTGTATCGCCACATCGGCTCATAAGCGTAACGAATTAAAAAAGCGTTTTTGTATTTCCTTTCTTCGTTTCAACAAATTTACGCAGTTTAAGAAAAATACCTATAAATTTTTTTATAAAAGTATAGATCCCAGGGCATTTTAGAAGAAATTCTGATTCTTTAACGAACCATTCATAAAATTATTTATTGATAAAATGAGATATCACAAAATATTTTTGCCGTAAAAACGGTCCCTTCACAATATTTTCATTTTTAAAAATATATCTATCTTTTTCACAAAAAATTTTTTTTTTTTACTTTTTAGTTTTAAAACCTAAACTCCTTAAAAGATATAGTTTTGATGATATTTCAAATAAAAAAAAATGAACCTTACTTGTAGAAATTCAAAAAGTTATGAGTGGTTTCTGAACAATTTTACTAATACAGAACCTTTCAAAAAGAAAAAGAAATCAAATAACCTCGTATGATAAAATTGAACTTTTTTTTTTTAAATATTAAAATCGACATAGTAAAATCCAGAATCGCATAACTGATATAAGTAGCAATTTTTCCACAATTTTCTTTTTCTTCCCAGCTATGGAAACCGGCTATGGATTGACTTTCTTTTAATGGAACCCTGAAGCAATTCTGAACACATTAACCAAAAAAGGATTATTTTGAAAATCTTTAATGCGATGAATGAAACGTTTTCATCATTATATCAATAACAGTCATAACATAATAATAAGACTGCATATAAAACAACAGAATACGTGGGAATTTAGTTAATTTGCTTTGAATTGAAAAGTTCGAACGGAAATACTAAAACAACTTTTTGTAAATTTAAATACATGTCTTTTTCATAATTAATTCAATATATTAGGGAAAAAGATTCATATCGCTCTTATTTTTCCACAGACATTTTAATTTATTTCATAAAAATATATGAAATATTAAATAAATAGTAGACTATTGATTGGGCATAATGGATTTCATTTCTCATTACTGATTAAAAAATAAATAAAAATCTTAACACCTGGAATTATTAGGGTTCTATAATGACACTTTTTAAAAATTACTGGTCTATTTGACGAACGTTTAGTTATGTAGGTCTCTAAATCTGATACCTTTCACAAAGTATTTAATATTCAACTAATCTCCCACAGCCCTTAAAATTTTAGAATAACGCTAATTTTATTAATATCCAAATGTTTATTTCAAGTGCTTACATGGTTTTTTGCTATTATTCTTTAATTTTATTTTCAAAAAATTCTGTTCGTTCCAAGTTTAATATACATAACATTATTGGCTTTTAAATTGTAATTTCTCTTCAAAATATATATGAAAATAACATTGAATATTCAACAAAACGTATTTTTATCTTTAATCCCGAACAAATAAATAAAAAAATATAAAATTGTTAAATATTTTTTTTAAATTACCGATTCAGAAAAAAAATAATAAGAAAAATACTATAACGAAGTAAGACTTGTTGTCAACAAGCAATTTATACGTCTGCATACTCTAGAAAGAAGTGTCACTTAAAAGTGTCATTCCTCTAACTAAAAGTATCTTTAAAATAAACGTGATAAAATTAGCTCTGCTGTATTTCTTTTTTCTTTCAAGCACAGTAAGAAAAGGCATGGAAGAGGAAAGGAAATATTCATTACATAATTATTTATGGAATATTTACTTTCTGTTAAATTTATTCAAAAGTAAGATTTTTCATGTATGTGCAATGCACAAAATAAAAAAATATCACCTTGAATAACTTTCAGATTTTCACATAGTAAGTGTCATTCTTAATAGTTCCTGGCGGGTGACTTCAAATATACTAATTAGTGGTAACTCTTAATTAAGTTACGAAATCAGTCACAAAAACATAATTTCTTTTGAATAAACATTTATTTATTTATATTTGAATATTTAACCCTTCAAATAGGGGGTAGACGAAATTTCAAAAATATTGGATCATAAATTGGGGGGTAAGAGGCTATATATATTTGGCAATAGTTCCAAAAAAAAATAGCCAAACAAAGTCGTCGCCACAAATGACTAATTTCCAATAACCTTAGTCAAATTCAAGAGAGCAATACCTAATTTTACTCCATTGCTAAGCAACCAAGTTCAGGCAAAAAAAGAAACAAAAAAAGCTTTGTGATTGCACGAAGAGGTTTATTTATAAATATTTAGAAGAAAATATCTCGAAGTTTCTAGGCAATAGATATTTCTTCCGCTGATTTCTCACCAAAAAAGCAAAGAACTTTTTTTCTTTTTAATCACATTTGAAAATTAAATTTGAATCAATTTATAAATAATTTTAAAATAATTATAATACTATTATGATTATTATGATAATTATAATAATCATAATAGTTATAATAATTAGTATAATTATAATAATTAATACAATTATAATAATTATGAATATTATAACAATAATAATTATAGATCATCATCATTTATGATTTCCAAAGCTTTAAGAATTTGAACACATGAACTTTCTATCTGACATGGTGTTTTTTAAGTTTTTACTTTATTTATACGAGGATTTCATATTAAAATCAAATTTACAAAACTTATTGTAATTATTTACAAAGTTTTAGTGATGAACATTTTTACAGCTTTCGTGAGTCTTCCAGGCAAGCAAATTTAAAGAAACAAAAGGGGGGAAAAAAGCGCTTGAAAAAGAAAAAAAAACAATTCTAGTCATCAAATACATGTCATTGGACCCCATGAGTAAAGTGCGATGCCGCTTATGTGGCGGCATTCGTCCGTGCAGGGTTAATATTGTAAGCATATATTACTCATATTTTCGAAACATCCATTAGTTTTCAATTAACCATCAGCCAATAATACATTTAAAAAAATCCACTTGAAATTATAAACATTACTAAAATGAATAAATGTTGTTTCCAACATTTACGAAATACAAAGAAAAATTCAATGACAAATTTAATTAAAAGTATTATTCCAAACAAACATCATTCATCATATAATATCAAAAAGTCACGACTGTTTTAAAAAAAAAGTCTAAAGGTATTATTAAAGAAAGGTGCAGAATTTTCTTAGAATCTAACATTCTACAGCAGATGCAGGTGTTAGATAAATGTAGATTACGTCAATGAAAAAATTTATCTGTGTAATAACATCCTTTAAAAAGCAAGAAATCGGATACTATCGCAATTTAAGAAATTAAAATTTAGGCAGTAGTAAATGCATACAAAAGAAATTTAAGCAGATTAAAAGAGAGACCAGAAATAAATAAATAATAAAACGTCAAAGTGGAAACGGTTTTGATTTTTCGTATTTAAACAATAAACATTTGCATTGCATCACGTAAATACAACATGAAAAAATAATAATAGTGCAAACATGCTTCAATTAAGAGTACGGGTTTATGCAGGGAAAAAAAACAAAACACGAGTTAACGATAAAGAAATAAATAAATATTACATTAAATAAATATTTTGTATAAATGAAAAAATAGCAAGGTCAAAGGCCTTCGGAAAACAGAAACAAGTATAAAAAAAAAAAAAGCCCAAGGTCAAAAACACTGAACTTGGGAACGGCATTTTTTTATGAACATAAGCGGAAAAAAACACTAAGTACATTTTTCTATAATCGTTACTGGAGTAAAAGAACAATTAATCCTTCCCAAATAGACCAGTAACTAATTAGGAATTCGAAGCGAAAAAAAAAATTAAATAAAAACCTAAATGAACGGATAACAACATAACAGATTGACGTAACATCAGAGTAGGATAGGAAGAGGTAGCGTAGCAATTTTATTATTATTTTTTTTTTCCTCTGTCTCTTTTCTAAGTTGTAACAGCAACAAAGGCCACTAATTGCTCCGTTTAAAAAAGCCATCTTTTTTTCAAACGAAATCATTACTGGAGGATTGCTCGAGGTTGATAAACCTGACGCCAACCATAAAGCCAGAATGGTAGCAAATAAAGATGGGTTGTTGATAAACGTTTTAAAAGAAAAAGAGAATTAATATGGCTGACTTCTTAAAACGAGTTAGTTTGGTATGTTTTGATTCTATCGGATTAAACAAAACTCTAAAGGTTAATAATGAGCCAGTGGTAGAGAAGTTAAAAGATTTAATCGATTACAATCAAAGGCTTAACAGGAAAATGCTTTTGGAGAAAGAAGACAATTGTCTGATACAAAAAGTATCCCCAGCTGATGAGGTATCCTTTTATGATACCTCATTAGCTTTACTAATAACAAAATAGGATTCTCTTGATACAGTCTGGTAGATAAAGCACTGAAACATCTGAATAGCATCACACTGCTTACATACCCAGAAAATATCAATCAGGGTGAAATTTTTCAACAAAAAATAAGCACTCAATAATATTTTTAAGCACTTTTAAGAAAATATAATAAGGCAGGGTAGAAAAGTTTTCGACAATTGACGATTTTATCCGGATTTAACCGTTATGTCAACAAAACAACAAAAAAAAATTTGCATAATTTTTGACAATTGTGAAAAATCATGAAATTTTGAATCATAAAACCAATGGCGTTTTCATACGCTAAGGACCGACGGTACGCCGAAATAGATTGGGGTTGAAATAATTGTGAAAACGTTGAATAGAACAATATGAACAGCGTCTTTTTGCATAATGCGTTGCGAAAATCAACAAAGTAAAGGGAAAATTAAGTACTTTTAAAAATCACCCAACGAAAAAAGCACCTTTAAGGGCTTTTAAAAAACTAAAATCAAAAATAAGCACCTTTAAGCACTTTTCAAAAAAGTTACGCGCCCTACTGTCAATAAAAAATTAGAAATATACGAAGTTATAATAATGGGGTGAGGTTTTTCCTTTTTTCGTTCTTTCAATTTAATTAGTCGACAACTTT